ACCTGGTGGGGACGATGTCCGAAATTGTGCTGATAAACATCATTGGCAACATCATTGATCTCAAACGCTTCTACTACTTCTGCGACGACGCCAGACGCCATTAGAGAGTATCTCTAAGAGCAAACGGAAAACAGGAACTAGGGTTTACTAGAATCCACCAGAAAGAAGAGAGACAGATCAAATTAGGAGAAAAGAACGGAGAGTGTTACTTACCATTCCACCGATTCCACTGTAGAACTCGAGAACTCGCCATGGCTTCTCATCGATTCTGTGCAAGCCTTCTTCTTCCGCCATGGCTGCTGACTAAACCAGGGAATTTTGGAACTTGTAATTCTTCTTCGTTGTTTTCTAAATTGTTCGGTTTATTAGTAGAACCATACCAACCCTTGTTCGGTTTACTAGAACCATAATAATTTTTGAGTCATTATTAAATCTAAAAATTATTTCTAAATTCTTAAAATTATTCATAATTACATAATATTTTACACAACTATCTCAAATTCATCCAAAATTCACTAAATATTATTAAAAGAATTCTAATACTGTTCAGAATTATATGTAATATTCCTTCGAATAATGATTTAACTATATTCGTGAAACATAGTTTAAAATTCGTCGTTTGATTTGATTAAAACATCAATTTGTGTGTCCATCTAGTAGGCTTCACTTTTTTTTTTTTGAAAAATTTTGGGGAAAACCGCGATCTGCGTAAATTGGATATAAACCATGTAGAAACAACAATATAAATTTGTGATATAAAACGATGATTTGTGTGACGAAAAACAACAACTCATTTATACTTTTTCACTAGAAAAATCCTAAGAAAAAAGTCATACTAAATGGTAATCGAATTAGGGTCTCAAAATGCAGTCCGAAATCAGTCACTATAATCCAATAGTTACACCTATTAAGTGTCTATTAACGTACAATTTAATTATACTAATTATCCATGCCAATATGCCATTGATCGTACGCATAGATATGTAATTGTATCATCCCAAATCATGGAAATGAATAACTTTACGGAAGAGGGAGAGATAAAACTGATGCATGGAAGCATTTCCCAAAGAGAAACGAATAGATTCTCTCTTTTCTTTTGTGTTCGTCAGTTTTTCTTTACCATTCCCCAAGACAATATGGTGGGTTTATTAATTATCATGATTATTCTTCTATATTCTCCTTCACATTTTGTTTTTCCTTTTTCTCTACTATGATTCTTTTTATAATCTACTTTAAATCACCCATTATGTTTCTTCAATTTCGAGTTAGCTTTTACGGTGATATGGATAAGGCATTAGGGTCGGAGCAAATGGACGGATAGAGCGTGCATGTGTAATCACCATAACCTACATTTTACTTCTTATACAATTGTACAAAATTTATTATTTTGGAATTACCAAAGACTTGGTTTGGGATGCATAACCAAATCATAATTAGAGTTTAGATAAATAATTCTGCAATATTCGGCCCAGGCTGTTTTAAAAAAAAAAAGTTAAGAACAAAAAAATTGTCATCATAATTTTCAAAAAATATATATATGTCATCATTTTTATACCGTGCTTAAAATATAAATCATTTGTAGCATTCCACTTCTACACATATCTTACTGTGCTGTTTTCGTCTTATTATCTTATAGCTGACTCTACTTTAGAGAGACATGTATACTTTTATACTTTTTCTATTTTATTCGAAGGATGGAGAAGTTTAAAATTTATCATACACAGGGGAAAGGGTAGTGAAATGACAGTAAAAAAAAAAGCGGTTGCAGTGCATCATTTATAAGCGACAAATTTATAATTTGTATATGGATATATAGTAAGTGATAAATATATTAAAGATAAAAAAGTAAATGAAACTATTTTTTTTTTAAAACAAAAAAGTAAATGAAACTGTCTTGTGGTGAGTCTTGTGACATATAAAATTGACAAAAAGATGGTCAAAATTCGAACCTCTCGAATACTTTTCCTTCCTATCCAATGA